TGCTGCTCCTTGGGTGCGTGGTTTTTCCAAAGGAAGCAAAATGCTCATCAGGCTGCTCCATTGCAAAGCCCTGGTGCTGCCGAGGGGCTGGCATCACTCTGTGAACACTGGCCGACCATCTTGTGGAGACCCGTTGGCTGAGTGAGATAAAACTGCAACTCCTGTGAGATGCAGCGTGCTGGGTGCCTGTATTTAAGCAACCCAACATCCACGCAGTGCTGGCCACACTCTGCTGCCTACGGCGGCTTACCACGCAGCTCAGCCGTCCCGGCCCCGGGAGTGGCAGTCCTTGCAAAGCAAAAAACAGCTGGGGAGTAACCAGTTCAGCCTTTCGGCTTTCATCTACCTGCATTTGCGAGTCAACACCCTTATTTTTCGGTGAAACAGGATGTACGAGACCTCCCACTGAAATGGTAATTAAGAGGGAGACTTTCATATAAATCCAAGTGCCAGGAGTTGCGCATGAACTGATTTGTGTGCAGCGATGAGCAGAGATGACCGAATGATTTCCAGCTCTGTGCCAGGAGCCTGGTTTGCCTTATTGTCTCCCTTTTTGAACCGAGCAACCCATCCAAAAATGCTAAGTTGGCTTGAAATGGCAGGTGCTGCTTTGAAACACTTCCATTTGTGCAGGTAGTCCATAGAAAGTCCTGCTTCCTAAGCACAGAGGAAGGAGACACATCCTTACTCCTGTTCCCAGGCGCTGCTTGACACCCCCAGCCCTTCCTGGGGAACCCCTGCTGCCTCTTCACCCTGTGCCAGCCTCGATGCTCCATCCTGACACTTCTCTCTGCTCCTCACTCTGCTCATTTACTTGGTCAGAAGGATCTGACACGAATTCCTTCCACCAAAGCAGCTCTAATTCCTGAGCCACTTGCATTTGCATTTGGTCTGGGTGGAGAAACAAAACCCACAGCTCTAGCAATGGGAACCCTTGATGCTCCCAGCTGCCTGCTCGCATGCGGGGCTGGAGCCAGCCGGGGTTCGGCAAGAGGTTGTACCCATTCCCCGGAGGTTGAACGTACCATGTGTGATCCCTGAGCAGCTTTCTGAGCCAGGGAGCAAAACACAGGAAAGATTTTGCAAATACCCAGGGAAGGCCATCATGGTGTTGAAGCTCTCCATATCGAAATCCCAGGCAGCAGCAGCACTGGTGTGTGCAGGGCAGCAGCCCCTGGAGGCGTTACACCTGAAACCCACCCGGCCCCAATTTTCAAAGTCCACGTGACCCAACGAGACTCTCAAAAGACACTGCAAATGGCTTTTTTCTTTTCCTATGTTGCAGACTCCTGCCTGTCTGCCTGATCCAGAAACGGTGCTGGCAAACGGGTGAGGGCTCCAAAAAGCCTCAGCATTATGTTTAAGGAAGGGGAAAAACATGTATCTGAGCATGAGCTCAGCTGGCCTGGGGCAGAGGATGCCGGGGCTGCTCGGTGGCGGCTGGCTTGGCTGAGGGTGGCTGCCGAGGCAGCATGGAGACACTCGACCGAGCCAGGGGGCTGGGAGACCACGGCAGACGTGCAGCGCGGGCTGGGTTTTTATTTTTAATCGTCAGGGTAGTTACCACCAGGAGCAATTACTGTGGGCTGCGGTAGAGTTTCTAGAAGTGGAAGTTTGGGAATCGGGTCCCGGGTGCTTCCCTACTGGATTGCCATCCCGCCCAGGGCCTGGAAACCAGCGACCGCCACCTC